AATATCAGCAAATAAATGTTCTGCAAGCCTTTATTCCATCCTCATCATTAAGGTAGACTCTTCTTTGGGGAAGCAGCTTTTTGCCAGTCATATTTTAAATTATTTCCAACTTAAGGGACTAATTTTCTGGCAATATACTAGACCATGTTCCTCTATTATTCAGAAAGCTTCAAAGGGCCAATTAATTATGAAGTAGATTGCCAATCATGGTTTCTATTCTGGAAGCTCCATTGAAACTTGTCTTCTATGCATTGTCCTGCTTGTGTTAGAAATACTTGAGAGAGAACTCTCAACATCACAGACACCACAGTGTGACAAATTGATAGATGAGTTATGAAAGAAATGAGTGTTGGATAAATATATACTTGTATACGTAAGTATATATTTGTAATTTAGAGTGGAACATTTAGATTACACAACAAGCATCCAATATTGTATCATAGTGCTGAGTCTGCATTTCCAAATTATCCCAAGGACCACACTGTATTTTGAATGACTTCCAACTCAGGAGACTTATTTTGTAACACCATATTGGGAAATAGTCTGTTGTGATCCATAAGGATAATTTTAAAGCAGATTGTCAGGTCTTTCTTGTTGGTTTGTCTTATTCTAGAAGTTCTTAAATATGACCATTGGATATGACTCTGTAGCTTAGCCTCAGGGACATACAGAGCTAGTGTGATTCAATGATGGTATTGATTTTTGTCTTTCTTCAGGATGAAGATGGGAAGGCATTGTCAGATGAAGACATTCGAGCGGAGGCTGATACCATCATGTTTGGGGGTGAGGTTACAACATTGGCTTGCTTTGGGGATAGGAGTTTTTCCTTTTTAGGATCTTCAGGGTTGGACTGTGGACAGCCTTATCCTGCATCCTCACCTTCTCCATCTTCTCTGAGTACCTCACTGCATGGGAGTTGTCCTCCCTCTGGTACAGTCAGTGACCCAAACCCACATGGCTATCCCTCAGGTCACGATACCACAGCCAGTGGCCTCTCCTGGGTCCTGTACAACCTTGCCAAGCACCCAGAATATCAGGTACGTTGCCGAAAAGAGGTGCAAGAGCTCCTGAGGGATCGACAGCCAGAGGAAATTGAATGGTAAGTGTAGGCTCACAGCCAGTTTCCATCACTCTGATGGGGGCAGAGAAAATCTCCTGCAGATGTCTTAATTTTTTAGGTACATTAGCTGGATTAAAAATATTGTGTCCAGTGTGTCCAGCAAAGGGAAGGTTGTGGCTTTGGATTAGAAAGGTAGGTTCAGTTGAGAGATTAGTGATGATGTATGAGAGAAGATATTAGCACATGCTCAGTAAATGAACGTCTCCTTTTCTCTCTTATTTTCCTCTTTGAAATCACCCTTTTCAAAGGGTTTCTTCTCTGAATATTGGAAATTCCTCGATTTCCCACTCCTTACCATGCTGTACAGAGAAGAATTCACATGGGACATCTGAGTATAGAAGACTTCAATTTCTCTTACAGGAACATTTTCATTGTTATCCATTCTGTTCTCATACAGCAGATATTCCTCCACTGTTTCCAATCCAATCTCCATCCCTGGTGACAGTTCCAACTCCATTCTGTATCCTGGAGTCTCAAGAAGCACCTATTTCCAGGTTCTGTGTTCATGAGTTCCCAGCCTGGTGGGGGAATAGTCCTAGGTCAGAGCAGTCTCAGCTCTCATGGCTAGAATGGTAGTTGAGAAAGAGAACCCAATCTGTGGACGGAATAGATAGGATGCCTCAAATGAGACCTTGGATTATTAGTAGCGTTTAAGTACAATTAGGAAAAGTGCTTTTGGCCAAGAACTAGCCTGAGCAAAAGCCAAGAAGAATGAGCTAGAGACAGAGTGATAAATAGAGAAATCTATTTAGTTAGGTAAACTACTAAAATAAACCCAAAATTTGTGGTGTGGTGAATGACTTAATATGGCTCTTCCAGTCACTACCTGGGTAAGTGATGGAATAGAATTATATTATTGTGGTATAGCTTTTGCTCAATACAGGGATTGGAAAGTTTTCTAGTAGTGTAAACAAGGTATACTGCACCTTTGCTACATGCAAACAAAGTGTATGGAATAATAGCTCGGAGATTGGGCAGTTTTGCCATTATGTTATTGTTGTTATGTGCTGTTGAGTTGCCTGCGACTCAAAGTGACCCTATGTACAACAGCCCTAAACCCTGTTCTATCCTGTGCCAATCTAATTGTCTTTAACATGTCTATACCTAGTCACTGAATCAATCAATCTCAAGGGTTATCCTCTCTTGCGCTGTCCCTCCACTCTCCCAAGCATGACATCTCTCTCCAAGGACTGGTCCCTCTTTGCAACATGCCCAAAGTATGTCAGATGAAGCTTTAGAATCCTTGCCTCCAAGGAGCAGTCTGGTCTCACCCTCTCTAGGACGAACCTATTTGTTCTCCTATTTGTCCATAGTATATTCAATACTCTTCTCCAGCACCACAGCTCAAAGGCATCAATTCTCCTTCTATCATCCTTAGTAATTGTCTCGGTTTCTGATCCATAGAAAGTTGGACAAAGACTATGGCCTGGATCAGGTGCACCTTAGTTTCCAGACTGACATCTTTGCTCTTCAGTACTTTGGAGAGGTCTTTGACAGCAGACTTTTGCAACACAATTTGCTTTTAATTTCCTGGATGCTGGTACCAAGAGTGTAGATTGTGGAGCCAAACAAACTAAAGATGTTAACAATCTCAATCTCTTCACCATCTATCATGATGCTGCTAATCAGCCCAGTGGTGATAATCTTTCTTTTCTTAATGTTGAGCTTCAATCCACATTTAAGGCTACAGTCCTTGACCTTCTGCAGCAAGTGCTTCAAGTCCTCCTCAGCAAGCAGGGTTGTGTCATCTACATAACATAGATTGTTGTTGAGTATTCCTCTAATCCTGATGCCACATTTCTCCTCGTAGACCCCAGCCTCCCAGATAACATCTGTGGAAAGACTCATTGGAGAGGTTCAATATCAGCTGTGAAAAAGAGGCTAGGTGCTGATTGTGGAACAGACCACCAACTAGTCACATGCCAATTCAAGCTGAAGCTAAGGAAAATTAAATGAAATCTCAGGAATAAATATTTGACCTTGAGTCTTTTCCACCTGAATTTCAAAACCACCCCAGGGACAGGTTTGAGATCTTGAACACTTATGAGTGAATACCAGCTAAGCCGTCGAAAGATATAAAGAAAATAATCCAGGATGAATGCAGTTGGTAATTACAAAGATAGAGGAGGAAGACAAGACCAAGATGGATGTTAGAAGAGACTCTGAATATTGCACAAGAGCACCGAGAAGCCAAAGTAAAGGAAAGAAATAAAGATATTAAGGAGCTGAACAGAAGATTTCAAAGAGCAGTGTGGGAAAACAAAGTAAATTATTATGATGAAATGTGTAAAGAGCTGGAGTCAGAAAATCAAGGGGGGCGAACTTGCTCAACATTTCTTAAGCTGAAGGAATTGAAGAACAATTTCAAGCCTTAAGTTGCAATACTTAAGAATGCTTTGGATGGAATATTAACTGATCCAGAAAGCATTGAAATAATTTGGAAAGAGTATACAGAGTCATTGTACCAAAAGGAGTTGGGGGACATACAAGAATTTAATGAAACAACGTATGAGCATGAACCTGTGGTGATGAAGGAAGATGCTCAAGCTGCTCTGAAAGAATTGGCAAAAAACAAGGCCCCAGGAATTGATGACATATTAACTGACATACTCCAACAAACCGACTCTGCCCTGGAGGTGCTCACGAGTTGTGACAAGAAATCTGGAGGACAACCACCTAGCCAACTGAATAGAAGAACTCTATTTGTTCCCATTCCAAAGAAAGGTGACTCAACAGAGCGTGGAAATTATTGAACAATATTATTAATATTACATACAATCAAGATTCTGCTGAAGATTGTCCAAAACCGATTGGAACAGCACATCAACAGAGAACTGCCTGAAGTGAAGCCTGGGTTTAGGCGAGGCAGTGGCAGGAGGGATATTATAATTAAATTTAGATGGATCTTTGCTGAAAGCAGGGAGTACCAGAGGAATGTCTCACTGTGTTTCATTGACTATACAAAGGTATTTGACTGTGTGGATCACAACAAACTGTGGCTAATTGTGAAAATAATGGGAATCCCAGAACACTTGGTCATGCTTATGCAAAACTTATACTTGGACCAGGAGGCAGTCATCAGAACAAAGCAAGAAAACACTGCATGGTTCAAAATTGGGAAGGATGTATGCCAGGAATGTGTCCTATTTCCATACTTTGCCATCATACCAGGCTTAATATGAGCCACTCCAAATGCATTCAGAAAAGAATGTCTGGAGGAAAGAGCATCATTAGGACTCAAGAGTGGCAATACCAAGAAATAAGGTGAGATGGCAAGAGACCATGTCAAATAAAAGAGGACCTTTTTGCTTGTTTCTGACTCATTTGCCTTTTGTTTTGTTTCTTACCACAAAGAATGTTTCCCCCTGTAAATTTATCACACTTTTCATGGATGGCATGTGTGTATGTGTGTGCATATGTGTGTGTGTGGTGATTTGCTCAGAAAGACCCCTAGAATCTCTCAATGAAATGTTCTCTGGGACTTAAGTGATATTGCTTTTTTAAAGCCTATCATTTTTTCTATTTAAAAAATAAATTACTGTGGTGAAAACATAACTAAAGTACATACACCACCTCAATAATTACTATATGGGCAATTTAATAACCAATTGCATCAACAAATCAAGTACAATTTTCAGGTTATGCAACCATTTTTCATATACTTTGCCAAATAATTTTCCCCCATTAACATAACCTTAAGGCCTCCTGTGCATCCCACAAATTCCTGTAAACTAATAGTTTCTAATAAACACTAGAAGCCTCTTGTGTAATAGACAAACAGGATCTGGTGGATGGACCTTTGTATTTAAAAGTTGGTTGGGCCCTGCCTGAGGGTGAGTCTCCAGCTTGGAGCAGTTGGGTTCTAGAGGCTCTTTTTTATTTACTTGAAAGCTGAGTGTAATCTGTTTGGGTGTTTCTGATTTTGTTAGCAATCAATTGTAAGCTGATTAACTGTTTCTGATTTTGTTTACAGTCAGCTGCAGGTGGGAAGCCTCTTGTGTAGGCAAACAGAATCTAGTGGGAGTGCCCTTTTATTTAAAAATCAGTTGGGCCCCTGAGCCTGGTATTAATTGTGCTTGGAGAGAACATTGTTCTAAGTGGTGCAGCACTTGCCTGCTAGTTTGCTTTACTGAACAACTTGAGATTGCTGTGATACTGAAATCTGTACCACTGGTGTGTCAAATGCTGTAAGAGTTTCCTATTGTGGGCAAGTTTTGGTGGAGTCCTTGATTAAGACAGACTAGGAGGCAGGAAGGGTCATCTTCTTCCTAAATAACAGACCTTTGAAAGCCCTGTGAACACGAAAGAAAGAGGATAATTATGGTAATATAGTAGTAGAGCCGAGATTTGCAGTCAGTTGAAATGATAAAAATCAATAGCAGACATCATTCAATAATTGGAACATGGAATGTACATAACTTTTATGCTGGAAAACTGAGAATTGTTACAGACAAAATAGAACAAATGAGTACTGACATACTAGGCTTTAGTGAGATGAGATGGCACAGTTTTGGCTACTTTGAATCAGATAATAATATGGTATACTACACAAGGAAGGAAAAATAGAGGAAGAATAGGGTTGCATTCATAGTAAAAAAGTCAATTTCATGTTCTATCCTGAAATATGATGTTGTGAGTAATAGGTTAACATCCATTCACATACAAGGAAGATCCATTAACATGACTATTATTCAAATATATGCTCCTACATCTAGAGTGAAAAGGGAAGAAATTGAGAATTTTTACTAAATTTTGCAGAAATTGACTGAACATACAATCAGGATACATTAATAATTTGTGTCTGAAATTTAGAAGTAGGAAACAGTGAGGAAAGAATAATAGTTGGAAAATATGGGTTTGGTGATAGAAATGAAGCTGGAAATAGAATGATTGAATTTTGTATTTACAATGATTTATTCATTACAAATACATATTCTAAAAGACATAAAAGACAACTTTACATGGATCTCACCTGATAGGCCGCATAGGAATCAGATTGACTACATTTGTGAAAGAAGCTCAACAGAAGCAGTCAAAACGAGGCTGGGGTGGACTGTGGGTCAGATCATCAATTACTCATATGGAAGTTCAAATTGAGGCCAAAGAAAATTACAATCAGTCCATAGGAATCAAGAGATGATCTTGAATTAATCCCATCTGAATTCCATGATCATCTTCAGAATAGGTTTGGCACTTTGAAGACCAATGACCAAAGACCAGATGAGTTGTGGGATGATATCAAGAATATAATCCTGAAGAAACCAGAAGCACATTAGAAAAACAGAGACAAAAAATGGATATCAGAAGAGACTGTAAAGATTGCACTGGTATGTCGAGAAGTCAAAACTAAAGGAAAACATGTTGAAGTGAAAGAGCTGAACAGACAATTTCAAAGGGCAGCTCAGGAGGACAAAGCAAAGTAGTATAATGGAATGTGAAGAGAGCTGGAATTGGAGAATAAAAACACTTGCTCTGCATTTCTCAAGCTGAAATAATGGAAAAATTTAAATCTCGTGTTGCAATGTTGAAAGATACCATGGGCAATATATTGAATAATCCAGAAAGCATCAAAAGAAGATAGAGGAAATACACAGAGTCACTGTAGCAGAAATAATTGATTGACACTAAAAAAAAAAATTCAGGAAGTACTACATGAACAGAAGCCAATGGTAATGAAGGAGGAAATGGAAGGTTCATTGAAGGCATTGACAAAAAATAAGGTCCTAGGAATTGATGTGATACCAGTTGACTTATTTCAATTAACAGATGCAACCTAGTATGTACTCACTAGTCTAAGCCAAGAAATTTGGAGGACAGCTGTCTGGCCAATGGATTGGAAGAGGTCCATATTTGCTCCCATTACCAAGAAAGGTGATCCAACTGAATATGGAAATTATCAAACAATATCATTAATATCACATGCAAGCAAAATACCCCTGAAGAGAATTAAAAAAAACAGCTCGAAAGTATATGGATAAGGAACTGCCAGAAGTTCAAGCAAAATTTAGAAGAGGCTGTGGTACCATGGATATCATTGCTGATGTCAAATAGATACTGGCTGAAAGTAGAGCATGAAAAGAATGTCTATTTGTGCTTTATTGACTATGAAAATGATCTGACTGTGTGGATCATGACAAGTTGTGGCTGACATTGAGAAGAATGAGAATCCCAGAGCACTTGATTGTGTTTATGCACAACCTATACTTGGATCAGGAGGCTGTTGTGCGAATAAAGCAGGGGAACACTCCATGGTTTGGAATTGGGAATGGAGTGCTCCAGGGTTGTATCCTCTTTCCACATCTATTCGATCTATATGCTGAGCAAATTAGCTGAGAAGCTGGACTCTATGAGGAGTGTGGAATCAGGATTGGAGGGAGACTCATCAATAACCTGCAGTATGCAGATGACACAATCTTGCTTGCTGAAAGTGAGGAGGGCTTGAAGCACTTGTTGCAGAAGAGCAAAGAATGCAGTTTTTGGGATGGATTGCGTCTCAATGTCAGGAAAACAAAGATTCTTTCTGTTGGATCGATAGGCAGCGTCCTGATGGATGGAGAGGAGACTGAAACTGTCAACAGCTTCATTTTGCTTGGTTCCACAATTAACACCTGCGGTGCTAGCAGTCAGGAAATAAGGATGCACACTGTACCGGGGAAAAACTGCTGTTATGGACCTTTTCAAATTATTGAGGAGTAGTGATGCCAGTTTGAAGACTAAGGTGCGTCTGATTGAGGCCATGGTCTTTCTGATTACTAGCTATACATTTGAGAGCTGGACAATGAATAAAGATGATAGAAAAATAATTGATGCCTTTGAACTGTGGTGTTGGAGAAGAATACTGAACATTCTATGGATGGCCATGAGAATAAATAGGTATATATATATCTTGAAGAGGGTGCAGTTGGGGTGCTTTTTGGAGGGAAGAATGATGAGGCTTCACCTCACATACTTTTGATATGGTGCTAGGAGGTGCGATTCCTTGGAGAAGGAGATGATTCTTGGAAGAGTGGAGGGTCAGGTAAGGAGAGGAAGACCAATAACCAGGTTCATTGACATGATGACTGCTGCAATGGGATATTGTGTCTCAGGAAGCGTGAAGATGGCACAGAATAGAACAGGGTTCAGGTCTTCTGTTCATATGGGTGCTATGACTCATGCTCAACTTGATGGCACCTAACAACTTAACAACAACAACAACTAGCAATCTTTGGTTTCTCTGTATTTGTTTATTCCACCTTAGTGAGATAATATATTATTTATAATTTTATACTGAGTTATTTCACTCTGCATGATGTTGTAAAAGTCTAATCATGCGGTGTTATGTGTAGGGCTTCATGAGTTGGTGGGGGGTGTGTGTGTGTGTGTTTCTGAGAAGTGTTCCATCGTTTGTATAGGTCAATTGTTTTTATCTATCCATCTGATGCTTAATATTTGATTCATTAGGAATTTATTTTGTTATAGGGAGCGAGGATCAGAGAGAGGCAGTACAAAAGTAGTGTCACTACATGTGTCACAAATGCTCCAAAACACTGGCAATAAAAGATATGCAAATCAAAACCACAATGAGATACCATCTCACCTTAGTAGCAGTGGCAAAATTTAATAGGACAGCAAGTAAATTTAGCTGGAGAGAATGTGGTGAGATAGAAACTTGTATTCATTGCTGGTGGTTGTTGTTGTTATGTGCGGTCGAGTCCTTTGCGACTCATATCATAGCATCTCTATGTACAACAGCCCTAAACTCTGCTCTGTCCTGTGCCAATCACGCTGTCTCTGATATACCCATCCTGATTACCCCAGTCATTGAATCAATCCACCTCATAGAGGGCCTTCCCTTCCTGTGCTGTCCCTCCATCCTACCAAGCATGATGTCCCTCTCCAAGGACCTGTCCCTCCTTACAATATGTACAAAGTACATCAGATGAAACAGCAGGATCCTTGCCTCCCAGGAGCAGCCCAGTTTAACCCTCTCCAGGATGAATCTGTTTGTTTTCTTGGCAGTCCATGGTACATTCAATACTCTTCTCCAGAACCACAGCTCAAAGGCATCAATTCTCCTTCTATCCTCCCTAGTCACTATCCAACTCTCTAATGCATAACATGTGATTGTTAAGACCATGGCCTGTATCAGATGCACCTTAGTCTCCAGAGAGACACCATTGCTCTTCAGTACTTTGGAGAGGTCCCTAACAGCAGACTTTCCCATTGCAATACGTCTTTTAATTTCCTGGCTACTGGTGCCAAGAATGTTGACTGTGGAGCTAAGCAAACTAAAGCTGTGAACAATCTCAATCTCTTCACCATCCATCCTGATGCTGCCAATTGGTCCAGTGGTGAGAATCTTTGTCTTCTTGACATTGAGCCTCAATCCACATTGAAGGCTGCAGTCCTTGACCCTCCTCAGGTGCAGCAAGCAGGGTTGTGTCATCTGCATAACACAGATTGCTGTTAGATCTTCCACCAATCCTGACCCCACATTTCTCTTCATAGAGCCCAGCCTCCCAGATAATCTGTTCTGCATACAGGTTGAAAAGGTATGGAGACAGGACACATCCCTGGCGTATGCCCTTTCCAATTTTGAACCATGCGGTGTTTCCTTGCTTTGTTCTGACGACTGCCTGTTGGTCCTCTTGGTTATTGTTGGTAGAATTGTAAAATGGTACAAACCCTTTGGAAGGCAGTTTGACATTTCCTCAGAGAGCTGAACATAGAAATTCCATATGACCCAGCTATTCCACTGCTTGGAATATACCGTAGAAAATAAGAACTAAGGCACAGAGACTTGTACACCAATGTAGTTCAAGAACATGGAAACAGACCAGATGTCTAATCACAAATGAATGGATTAAGTTGTGGAACAGTCATACAATGGAATACTACACAGCATGCAGGAGCAATGATTTTGTAAATTATCACCTAACTTGGGAGCAACTGGAGAGCTTTATGCTGAGTGAACTAACTCAGTCCTGCAAGGACAAACAGTGTATAAAACTATTATTGTAGGATGAATATAAATATCCACAGGTGGGGGGTGGGGAGAGTGGAAGCAGAGTGGTGAGGATGGGCAGGGAGGGATGGGTGGGGGGGGGTTAATCATAGGGTCACACAATTTGAAGAGCGGTGGGTGAAGGAAATGGGAAAGAACCTGTGTACAAAACAATGTATTTGAACTTTGCAAATAAATCAGTATTTTTTTAAATAGTAGTAAAAAAGTAAAATAAATAAAAAATAGTGTCACTAGGGGGAGGAGGCTGCTGGGGAGTCTTTGCTCCCAGGTTAATTGTTGGATGTGTGCTCCTTAGGGATGACCTGGCCCAGATGCCCTTCCTGACCATGTGCATCAAGGAGAGTCTGCGGTTGTATCCTCCCGTCACAATTGCTTCTCGTTGCTGTACCCAGGATATTGTGCTTCCAGATGGTCGAGTCATCCCCAAAGGTGACCACGACAGCAATGAAGGAGGTCCCGGGCAGAAAAGGGGCCCTATCAAGTAGAGGGGGAGCTCTTTCTGACTGCCCCTCCTCCTACAGGTGTCATTTGCCTCATCAGCATCTTTGGGACTCACCACAACCCTTCTGTGTGGCCGAACCCTGAGGTACTTACTGTCCTTGCCAGCCCCATCCTTCTCCACTGCAGGGATCTGGGTATCAAGAACATTTGGAGCACAGACTCAGACATACGAGCATCAAACTCTCCAAGCCTGCTGGTTCTGGGAGACTCCATCTTTCAACCCTGTCTCCCCCTTTCCTCCCAGGTCTATGACCCTTTCCGCTTCGACTTAGAAAACTCCCAGAAAAGGTCGCCTCTGGCTTTTATTCCCTTCTCTGCTGGGCCCAGGTGAGATCTGTGGGGAACTGAGCTGGAATGGGGTGAGGGTTGGCGTCTAGAAAGTCATCATATCTGATTTCAGTGTAGGTATTTTTAGTCAGCTTCAGTTCTAGTCCCCTCCTGTCCTCTCTAGGTTTGGATAAGGCTTCAGGGGAAAAAGGTGGGTTATAAGGAGAAGTGCTAGGTGATCAGAACCAAGATGTTAGGTGAGCACTTAGGTGCTCAGGTTAGAGTCTGAACCAAATTCGGAGCGCTCCGAAGCCTTTTAGGGGTTTCTAGATCGGCCAGCCTCTTCTCCTTTATTCTTGATGCAGATCTGGGCTTGGGTTCTAGGCACAGTGAGTCTAGGATGGGAATCCTGGACAAATTCTACCTACTCTTGTTCTGCAGGAACTGTATTGGACAGACGTTTGCCTTGACTGAGATAAAGGTGGTCCTGGCCCTCACACTGCTGCGTTTTCGTGTCCTGCCAGATGATGTGGAGCCCAAGAGGAAGCCAGAGCTGATTCTGCGTGCGGAGGGTGGGCTGTGGCTGCGGCTGGAGCCGCTGGGAGGTGGACCACAGTGATCCCCTGAATCTCTTAACACCCTTAACCTTGACTCATCCGCCTATCTTAGCAGACTCTTAGGAATAAAACTGCTGTCACCTACCCATGAGCCTTCCTAGGAGCCAGTTGGGACTTTTGGGCATGATGGAGATGCATGCTTGAGAGGAGAGGACTCCTATCTGTGAACTGAAAACCCTCCACCCTGTGCTTGAGATTTTCTTGAGCCTGATAATGAAAATCACCTGTGGGGACTAGGGAACCATGGGAGGTGTTTGAACAAGAAAGGAACCAGTGTTGAGGATGGATTTAAGGGATAAAAATGAGCCCCCAAGTTGGGGAGGAGGGAATCTTTGCATGGAGCTTCCCAGTACAAATGTGCACTTCCTCTCTAAGCACTTACATGCTGGTGTTTCCTCACTCAAAGCTCAGCTGAAATGTACCCTTGGATACTCTTCACTTCTACTTATTTCCTCCATCCCAAGTAATTCGAGCTCGTGCTGATAAAGGTAGAGGGGTCTGTAACAAAGAGCTTGAGTGTGGCAGAGATTGTGATGAGGGCTCAGGATAGGGCAAGATCTGTTTTTCATGAGTCATAGCTGATTAGAGGTCATATACCAACCACCACCTCAACAGTAACGACTCCACTTACTTTTCTTATAGGACTTAAAATCTGAGACAATCATGTTTATTTTATGAGAACCGACCATAGCTGACCCGCTGGTGGGTTTTCAGAGGTGATGAGAAAAGACTGCCCATCCTTCTCCTGTGGAGCAGCTGGTGGATTCGAACTGCATGCCTTTAGGACTTCCTGTCACTAGCCTACTAGAGCTCCCTAAGCTGAACATACCCATGGTTAAATTTTTGAGAATCTATGCATTTTTGATGCTAAAATGGCCTAAGTGGATAAATGACTCAGAGAGGACTTGGACCACAATTCAGACACAAGACAGATACTACACAGACCTGTAAGTTAGAGTCTGCCTTTGAGTGTTGTTGTTATGTGCTGTC